CATTTTCTTTTTTTTTGTTTTTGATTTCAGTAATGGAGGTGGTCGAAGTGGTGCATTTATTGCCTTAGATGCAAATCTTGAACTGCTTAAAAAAACGGGTCAAATTGATGTTTTTGAGTATGGTAAAACATTGATCAATTCACGGCCACATTTAATCGACTCAGTGGAACAGTATCAATTTATTTATGATGCCTTAGCTGAGGTTTTTTTTGTTTTCTGCTTTGCTTTTGCTTTTGTTATAAATCTTATTTTTAACGTATCACTGTTGTTAATGTTATCGTTAAGCATTAAATTATGCTTAGCAATTAAAATACCTTTATAGAAATTTAGAGTTACAGAACATTGTTGTAGGCTGTACTCTGTAATTTGGAGCCTATTGCAATGTGGCAGTTAAAAGAACGAAGTAGTATGTATAAATCAAAAAAAGATCGCTTAGTTATGGAAGCTCAAGATGCACGAGAAAATAAGGTGAACAAAATTGCTAATACTTAATTTTTTTATTTCTTTGCATTTATCAATTAATACACAGTTTTTGAGAGCAAATAAATACAGAAATAAGAGGTGAAAATGATTTACCGTTTAAAAACTGTCTTATTTAACGGTAATAATGTCATGCTAAGAGTTTTTTTTATAGCTTTTATTGATGTTAACGCCAACGCTAAGGATAGGTGATTGTGCTGGCGGACATCGGTTAGAAAATCGAGGAAAAAACAGAGATGTTATGGTTGTACCGCGTAAGCGATTTGTCTTCTGTCGATATTTAATTGCTGAACAGTAAAATAAAAAAAAAGAAAAGACCATTTGTCTTTTTTCCGTTTATTAGCTTTATAAATTAGAAATATTTTTCTTGTTGTTGCGAAAATATAGTGCCAGGAGATACGGGCTTTTTTTTTTTTTTGCCAACAACAAATATACTTTTTTGGACATTTAAAAAAAAGCTCTGTTATAATGATAAACAAAGAATGATAACCAATTGCTTTCGCCATTCCGATACTTCAGTATCTTCTGTTCAGTTTGTCTTTTTTCTGATCAACTTTATTGTTAAAATAAATAATAGAAAAGAAGCAAAAAAGAAAAATAGAAGAAGTTGTCTTGTTGAATAAGATAAAACCCGGTAAGCTGAAAAAATCAAAATAAATGAGTTATGAATTTGTCTTTAATTTTTTTTTAATCTCTATAAAAGAAAAGAAATAATTAGCTGTACAAAATTAGTGATATCTTCTGTTGCTTTTGTTGTTAAAATAGTTTTATCAATAAACCAGTATAAAATCTTAACTTAGCCAATTGTTTTCTGATAGAATTGAAAAGCCGGAGAAAAAAGTGCCAGGAAGAAATTTAACAATAATCGGTTGCCTGGTTAAGTGTTTGTTTCAAAAGCAAAAAAAAAAGAATGATTAATTTTATCTGTATTAACTTTGCTAAACGAAAAAGAAGTAAATCAAATTGTGTCTCTTTTCCGTCCTTTTTCTTTTTTTTAATCATTTTTTCGCTTGGCCAGTTATCAGTGTGAACTTTCAACCGTTAAGTTGTAGGAGAAAAAAAAGTTGTAAAGCGTTACAGCGGTTACGTATCATTTATATGATTTACAGTTACAAATATTTCATGTGACATTTGAGTATTTTTAAAAATTTTTTTCCTTGATTTCATATTTTTTTTAGCTTTATAAATACTCAAAAAAAACTATCACTCTTATTGCGTAATAACAGTTAACTGTAAGGAAAAGTGTCTTTGTTTTTGTAGCTGATCATGCTCGTCCTTATCTGCAAACATTACATGGCGAAAGTAAGGATTATACATATATCAATGCCGTTGAAGTTGATGGATTTTTGCGAAAAAGTGAATTTATTGTTACTGAATGGCCAAAAGTAACAACGCTGCATAGTTTTTGGACGTTGGTATACGATCATGCCTGTCATACAGTGATAAATCTAAGCAATCAGGGAAATCCAAGAGTATTTTTTTGATTTTTATATTTAAAAAGTGGAGAAGAAAAGAAGAAAAGAGAAAAGAAGAAACATAAATTTTATTTAACAGTCATCAATATATTTTTAAAGATTTGTTGTTTGTTAAATTTATTGAAATGCCATATTTATTGAAATAGAAAGAGTGAATTTTTTTTCATGAATCAATTTTGACTACCAATAACCCAAATTTTTTTTTTTTTTACAGCATTATCCAACGCTATTGCATAACAAAGGAATTCAGTCATATGGGCCATTTAACATCGAAATTCTCTGTTATCAAGAGTATCCCTCGATGACATCGCATATGATCAAAATGTCAAAAAAGGTTTGCTAATATAGTGTCAAAGTGCAACTGCTTTTTTTGTTATTTTTTTCTTTTTTATTTTCTTCTTTTTGTCCACCTTTCTTCTCCAAATTTTCCTATTCATTCCTCAAGTTCGTCATTTCATATACTTTGATAATAATTTTGCCTGTTGTTGAACAGTTGAATGCAACAACTTTGTCTTACCGAGAAAAAAAAAAAAAAAAAA